TGCAGCATCTATATCAACATTCTCCGGTATGCATGCTTATTCCTTCACACATTTTTTTTTTCAATAGTTTTCAGTAGTACAACAACAACAACACCAAACATCAATATATGACACACAAACTCAGTCACACATGAATCAACCAAATCAAACACACCAAAAAAAAATAAAAAAATAAAATAAAAACAAAGAGGAAACCCTAATAGTAAAATCGATCACGCGAACATCCCGAAACGCACCGGGATGCTCGTGCCCTTGAGCCACGCCTCCCCCTGCAAAAAAGGGCCAACCGTATACTTGGAAGCCTCCTCCTTCTTAATCGTTTTATACCCGGCCCACTTCACTCTCCCCGCCGTCTCAGCCCCTTTCCCCTTATTCCCAAACTCCGCATAGTAAAGCGTGTCGAGCGCAAAGTCCCCTTCCCACTCCATCCACCCGTCGCGGTGGATAAAATCTCCAATCTCCGACTCCATCACGACCGTCCTCGAGTACTCCTTCCAAGGCCGGCCCAGGTAGCTCCGGAACTGGGCCTTCTCGGCCTCGAGCCGGTCGTCCGCCAGAATCCGGCAGTTTTGGAGGACAGTTCCGGTGGTCTCGTGGCGATCGATCCGGCCCTGGGCGGTGACCGCCGTCGGCTGGCCGTCGAGAGGGCGCCGGACGTAGATCATGCAGTTTTGGAAGACGGCGGCCGCGTCTCCGAAGATGAAGTCGACTGTGCCGGTTATGTAGCAGCTTCGGTAGAACTGGCGGTGGGTCTGGGCGTAGAGAGTGTCCTGATAGCCCTCCATGCGGCAGTTGAGGAAGATCGAGCGGTCGGCCTGGACTCGGAGGGCGACGGCCTGGTGCTTCTCGGGGCCAGCTGTGTTGCGGAAACCGAGGGATTGAGCGAAGAAGCCGTCTCCCAGCACGGCTGCGTGAGGAAAATATGAAACGCGCGGTAATAGTATAAATCTCTCTATTCTTAATTCTTGAGCGGCTGATCGATCCACCTAACAGTTAGGCTGTAGGTGGGTGTTTTTGTCGTACTTCATGAAAATATGTTTTTTCGAGCTCGATTCGTTTCTGAATGAGTCGAACTATAGAATATTATACAAAAATTCTTATTTTCGAGTTTTAACGAGTCGAGTTGAGCTTGCAGCTCGTTAACTAAACAACCTCGAATCTTAACCGTAACAAGCTCTAGGTGTAAATTAAATTAAGTTTATAATAATGGAGGATATATAGTTTTCTTTCGATGCTAATTACTTACCGAATGTGGCCGTCTGATAAGTCGGCGTTCCATCTACAAAATTTTTGCTCCCAGTGACGATGCTCTTCTGCGACCCGTCACCGTACATCGTGACGTTAACCATCTTCTTGGTGACGATCACGGTCTCGTCGTACACGCCTTCCTTGACGTAAATCACGTACCTAACAGTAATCGACGACCGGCTAATTAATTTAACGCAAAGTCCTCGCGTAACTAACAAAAANNNNAACACGACGCGTACCTTCCCTCGTATTTCTCGGGAATCGCGCCGAGGGCAGCATTAACCGTCGAGAAATTCCCGCTCCCGTCCTTGGCCACGGTCACATTCGGAGTAAACTTCGTCCCGTCGGCCTTCAACATCCTACGGTCCTCGTGACCCATCCACTCCGGGTACCCGACTTGATCGACCCCCATAAGCTTCCTATGACTCGGCGCGTGCATGGCCGAGAACAACGAATTAACCTCCGACACGATCGCCAACGCATTACTCCCGAGCTCTCGAACCGTCTTCATCAGCTTCTTCGTCGACTCCTTCTCGGACCCATCCGGAAACCCATCCACGCACGTCTGCTGGTACGACAAAACCGCGCTCAGCCAGTTGTTGATCTCGGGCTTCAACGTCGACACGTGGCTCAAATCCTTCCCCTTCACGCTCACGATCGAACGGTTGAGATCCTCCTTGGCGTCCTCGAGGAGGACGAGGCAGTCCTCGAAGGCGGCCTTTTTAAACGGGCCATCGAATTTGAGGTCCTTGGCTTGTTTAACGGCCCGGTCGATTTCGTCTGAGGCGGCCGAGAAGGCGGCCCGGAGGATGTCGACGGGCTGGGCCTTGGGGTTGTGCTCGACTGCCTTGGAAAGGCTGTCTTCGCACGTTTTTTTGTAGTCGGTGGAGGAGCAGACGGTCTTGACGGCTTTTTGGGCCACGTTTGGATCGGGCTTGGGAGGGGTTGGGCTATGCTTGGAGTGGTCGTGGGCCGGGCCCGATTCGGATTGGTTGCGTTGGTAAACGACGGCGCAGACGGCGGTGGCGGCAATGAGGAGGATGGCAACCGTGGAGAAGACTCCGATCATTATGCGGCGGCGGATTTTGTTCCGGCGCTCTTGTTGGCGGCGTTGGGAGATGAGGTCGAAATCTTGGAAAGCCATTTTTTTCTTTCCTTTTTTATTTGTTTAGATTTTTATTTTTTTTTATAATTATTATTGGGTTCACTGCCTTGGCTGATGGGGTGGCTTAAGGAAGCCAAGGCAGGAAAGGGGGGAGGTTAATTTTGTTTAGTTGGTGTGGCTTTGTGACATTGCTATGTGTTTGTATATTTATTGGTTGTTAGTAGTTTTGTGGGTGTGTGTGTGTTTTTTTGGGGATCAGTGGTGTTTGTGGATTAAGTGGCGCGTGTAGTTTCATATTGTTTTTAAGATAGTTGAGGTATGGAGTGGAGGGATTTTAGGGCGTTTTGCTGTGTTTTGTAAGTTGGGTTGGTTAGAGAAATGTAAGGGATGGAAATGGATGATGGTTAGTTGTCTCTGTTTCGTTAGGCAGACATTTTGTAGTGTCCGAATTTCAAGGTTCTTCTTTTGTTTTCGGACAGCTATTTTTGCTCAGGTGATATTTTGAGGTGTTAGTTAGAGTTTGGAAAATGAGTGAGTATTTTTGTACCGTTTTCAGAATATGACAATATGTGAAGACTGTTGCTAGAACCGTCTAACTATTAGACAGTTTCACACAAGAATTTGTATAGGCATATCCATCGACATATTAGCTTGTGTGGCACGAGAGTATCAATAACACTAAATTATATATATGCAATGAAGAACATCTGGTTATGCACAAAATGTTGAAACATAGGCCACCAAAAATGCTAGAATACTATATGATGAAATTCCAACGAAAATATATTCCATTGGAATTCCAACGACAATTTTAATGGATATTTCAATCCTAGTATTTCCGATTCCAATGAAAAATACTCCATTAGAATGAGTCTTCCATTAAAAATTTCTACAGGATTTTGACGATTCTAAAAGTAGAATTTGGCAACGGTTGAAAAAAAAAATCAACGAAAAGTATATTCTAATCGAAATTCCAACAATCGTAAGAAAAATAGCTGTTAGTACATCATCAATTCCTCATAAAATTCAATGGATATATAATTCCAATGAAATACATTAGTGTTGATCTCTATTGAAATATCATTAAATTTTTCATGCGGAAACCGTTTCATTGAAATATTCGTTTTGGAAGTTTTGTTATAATATCCTGCACTAAGATTTTCATATTCCATAATTTTTTTTGCACTGTATGTAGACATGGGCCAAACCGGCCGTGGTCAACGGGCTTGAACTGAGCCTTTGGTTTGACCGGCTGGTTCTGTGCCACATATTTGTAATTTTTTTAACCGTCAAGTCGATTTTCTAATCGATGGTTCGACTTTTTTTTTTTACTTTTTTAGTTATTTTCTTATTTATTTTTTAAGTAAAACGGGACGACTCGAAACCAACGCTTTACCGAACCAGCCTGTATATGTTTCCACGCAAGATGGTTCAGGCCTTCAAAACCGCAGCCCGAAACTGCCAATTAAACATGGACACGGGTCACTAGGGCCGCCGACTCGGCCCGATCCAACCCGTTGACCATGGGTCGGGGCCCGTGTCGGATTTACTTCGGGCATGGCGCCTTTTTTTAATTTTTTTTAGGACGGGTCCCAGGTCGAAATCGACCTGTCGGGTCACTAAACCGGCCCAACTCGCCGGGTCGTGTACCCGGCACGTATCTAGGTACGGCCATTCAGGGTCGGTCATTTTGAACCCGGTGACTCGCTTGGCCGGGAATTTGGCCATGTCTACTGCCAATTGGCCACCTCTTAGTGTAAGTACTAATTAATTGACAATTTATTCTGTAAAATCTGATCAAATTATCTAATTAAACGAATTAATTCCACTAATCTATTCATATTTTCTTATTTAATTTTTTAATTTGGATAATTTGATAAAATTAATTGAACTAAATTGTGAAGTTGTGAGGGAAGTCTAACTGCTGGTTCACATGTTATTGCAAGTTGTGTATAATCTAAATACCCAATCGAGCATTAACCTTCATGAAAACTGAAGAACTGGGCTTCCACAAAGCCTTTTATTTCAATATTTATTCATTACACGAGATAAATCAGGCTTTCTAACATCACCAAACTTCCTAAGAAGCCCAATAGAAATTTAAGACATCCCCAACACACGAATGTGTAGTTCGGGCCCAGTCAAAGCCCGAGTGAAAACGGGAAGCCCGTATCCGGCAGCCACTCCCCGCCGGCAATAAATTCTGCCGCCGTGAAAGGCTCTGCCTCCTCATCCCCCGCCAGCACCCTAAACCCGTGCCACGTAACCCTATGGGACGTGTTGGCACCATCTCCCGTATTTTCATACTCGGCGAAAAAGCAAGTGTTGAGCCCATAATTGCTATTGTTCCACCTATACCACCCCTCGGGCCACACGACATCCGATATCTCCGTCTGCATGACCACCGTCCTTGCGTATTGGCCCCACGGCCGGCCCAAGTATGTCGGGAACTGGGCCTGAACGGGCCTCAAGTCGTTGTCGGCCTGGATCCGACAACCCTGGATGACGATCCCGGTGTTTTGGCCCGGGTCGGCCCGCCCGTCGGCAGTGACCATGTTGCGTTGGCCCGGGTTGGGTCGACGGACCCAGATGTCGCAGTCCTGCAGAACTGCGGCACCTCGATCGAAGATGAAGTCGACGGTGCCGAAGATCGTGCACGCGGAGTAGAACTGACGGAGGGAATGGGTGTAGAGGGTGTCTTGGTAGGCCGACATGGTGCACTGGTGGAAGGCGGAGAAGTCGGCGCTCACGCGTAGGGCCACGGCCTGGTGGTTGGACGGGCCTGCCGTGTTCTCGAACGTGATGTCTCGGGCTAGGAAACCGTAGCCTTTCACGGCTGCATTGCGGAGGAAATTGATCGATTAGAAATGAATATAAACCATCTCGGTCTATCATTATTGTAGTTAATTTAACATTGGCTGAATCTGTATTGTACGCGTTTTTCAACTTTGCAATTTATAGTATTTTTCTGGCAACAATCTAATTTTGGTCCGCTAACTTGTCAATTGTCCACTTTTGGTACATTATCTTTCCCCTCATAAAAAATGGTCCATTATGTTACACTTTTCATCAGTTTTAATACGCTACTCCAGGTGGCGGGATTACAAGATGACGTGGACCGAAATGGGGATTACGTGCAGGGATAAGATATTGACGTGGTAGGATAAAAACCTGATTTGGCATCTCGTAATCCCGGGCCACGGGATTAGTGTACTAAAACTGATGAAAAGTGTAACATAATGGACCATTTTTTATGAGGGGGAAGATAGTGTATCAAAAGTGGACAATGGACAAGTTAGCGGACTAAAATTGAATTTTTGCTGTGTTTTTCTTGGTAAAATTGAACCTCAACGTTCATGAACACTCATAATTTACAACCACTAATCACATACATCTTGGCCATACAGTCATCCGCAATAATAGACACATGTATATGGTCAAGACTATACACATGAGGTTGCGAATTATGAATATTCACTAAGTTCAGTTTTCAATTTTTTACAAAGAAAAATACTATAAATTACAAAACTCAAAAGCACGTATAATACAAGCTGCAGAAATTACCAACTGTGGCTGAACGGAAAGTGGTGTAGTTGGTCCCAACACTCCAGTTGCCCGTGATGACCGTCTCCCCCTCCCCGTCCCCGACGAACATCATGTTCCACCTATTGCTCGGGATCTCCACGTTTTCCCGATAAACTCCGCTCTTTATCCGAACAATGTACCTCTCGTCGCTCTTATGTGGGGCTATCTCCACCGCCTCCCCGACCGTCACATAGTCCCCACTCCCATCTGCCGCCACCGTCACATTAGGCGTCACCTCCGACGCCACCAACATCCGCCTGTCCCCATCCGATAGCCAGTCGGGCCATCTGGCCCGTCCGGGCCACCGGCCCAGGGCTCCGCGGCCCGGAACACTTCTTACCATCACCAGCAGATTGCTGACGAGGCGGAAGACGTGCATGTGGTCGCGCGCGAGGGACCCACGCGGCGGGAGCCCGTCGACGCACGACAGCTGGTTCGCCATCGCCGCGCTCAGGTACGTCAGCACGTCGTCGATAGCTCTCGATTTTTCGAGGTTCTCGAGTCGGTTGGCCGCGGCCCGGAGCTCGTCTAGCGCCAATTCCGCCATCTCAAGGCAGTCGTTGAGGGCCCGGGACGGGAGGCCCACGGGATTGCTGCTGATGAGGCGGGCGGATTTTCGGATGGTGAGACGGTTGCGCTCGACTGCGCGGATCGTGTGATCGAGTGCGGCCGCCAGCACGTCCCGGCTGCTCTCGACTGCGGCCGTGGGGAGATTGAGCTCGACGGTGGAAATGCAGAGTTCGGGGTACAGTGTAGCGGCACAGGTGGACCGGATTATGCTTCCCCCGGCTGAGCCGCCGTGGTTAGCGGCGGCCATGGGTGGTGCTGCCAGGAAGGCGAGGAGGAAGAGTTTGGAGACAATGTTGTGCATTTCTTTTGTGGGTGTGGACCTTTTTCAGTGGATGATAAATGTCGGCATAGAAATATAAGGAGCTTTACAGACTTTATTTTATTTTGGTTGCATGAAAAGTGAAAACGAAATGTGTTGTGCCAACTTTATTGTCTGGTGCAAAATTAGAAAAGTTTGGGTGGGTAGGTTTATAGAGTAAATATATCTACTGTGTGGGAGAAAACCAAGTACACGTTGCATTGTTGGAATCTTTATTGTAGGATGATCAGCAATAAATGATAATAAGACAATAATAATAAATGATAATAAAGACAATAAAAAAGAAAAGTGCAATGATCGTCCGATTCTATTCTCCATTAATCAAAGGGAAATTTTTACACTTCCTGGACGAGTTGGATTTATTTGCTGTTTTACGGTTAATACAATTTTAATTGCATATGTACATAGAATCAGTTACGTATGCTTAAAATTAGGACGATATAGAAAATTAAAAAAGAAGGAAACAGTTACGAAGGAAGGAAGTTGTTTTGCGGCTTAATTGGATATGCTCCTCCCCTTTATTTTGAGGATGAATCAGTTACATAAAATATTAAAAAAAAAAAAAAAATTCATTACGTATATGGAAGGGATATATCCTCACTTCAAAATTGAACTGTTTTGCCTAAAATTAGGACGATAGCCAATTTCAATTTCAATTTTTTTTCATCTTCAACAAACTTGAAGAAAAACAGAGACGGTCATTGGATGCAAGAACATTCTCGAAAAGATATACTACATAGTCAGGTATATTTATTGATTGAAAAAAAAAATTATTTCAGTGTTCACGTTTTTAATAGAGAGAAATAAAATCGTGTATTATAATTCACGCAATTGTCCAAGTGAGTATACATTGAGTTTATGTTAGTATATATTCAGTATATGTTGCAATGAAAAACATGTCTTCCATAAAAAATAATGTCTTCTTGTTTTTTTAAAGGTTCATTGAAACGTATGTGAATTGATAATTTTTTTATTAATGAGTGTGTCATTTTTTAATTAATGGTATGTNATGTAAACGTTTTTTTCTACGTATTGTTTATTTTACTTTTATTCTTTGTAAACAGTTTTACTAAAAAAATAAACCATACAAATACACAACAAATCCATAAAAAAAAAGCATAAAAGTATATATAGTTTATAAACATATTATAACAAGTTACTTATATTTATGTCTTGAATGGACAGTATATATTGAATTTATATTTAGTATATATTGCTTATACACACAACATATACTGAACATATACTCCCTATACACACAACATATAATGCATGCCTATATACGCAACATATATTGATGTAAACATATATTGTTCTTTGATACAAATCACAAGTGTTTTTGTATTTTCTGAAGAAATATGTTTCAACGCAATTAACGAAAAACAGACCTGTTGGAGCTTGAATGAGTTTAGGTAGAGATTATGAACAATTTCACACAGCAAGCAGAACCTAATTTAGCAAAACGATGAAGGCCAAAAAAATATGGAAAACCCTGACTATAAATTTTATTTAATGTCGTGAGAAAAAAAAATCAGTTTATGCTTTATCAAATTCGTTTTCTAACAAAAAATCTACTAATATATCCAACATATTCTATAAATAAAACATTAAAAACAGAAAAAAACAAACATCCACTCACAAACTAATTGTACATAATTAAGACAATAACAGTACATAACTAATTTGTACATAAACTAATATACCAAATATAAACTAGATGTACAACAACTAATATATTCAGTATATTTTCAGTTTATCTCTCCGTCTTGCGACCTCCCCTCCGCCCAGCCAGTAACCAATCTAGCTTTTCCTGCATTTTGCAGCTCGGTTGAACCAACAAAATCGAATGTCCCATCATTGTAAGACAGATTTTGTTGCTCTCTGCATATCAAAATTTCTATATTGACATCAAGCACATATCATCATTTCTAAAGCAAAGGGCAAATTCACCAGGCTTCACAGACTGGAGGCCTGATGTTATGCAGGCTATATCTTGATAACCAGCTCCCTCCAATTTTCTTGCAGCAGCCACAGACCTAATTATATCACTTGAATTATAAACTAATAGCATTGATTTATTTCTAGTTTTTCGGTAAATGATCGAACAATGCAACAACACTCAGTAAAAATTCATGTTCATCGAAACAAAGAGACTAAGCTCACCTGAGCCCTTCCTGGCAAAAGAGCAACAACTTGCTCTCGGGCGAAAACTGGGTCTTAACAGATTGCACGAAATCCGGGTTCGGTTTGGTGAAAGGCAACCCGAAGAACAAGCCCGAGAAATTGTTATGCAAGATCCTCTTCACAATTGCAGGAACAGCCAGTACCTCGGTCTCTTCAACTCCACCACCGCCGACAACACTTCCAACCATCCAAGACTTCGAGTTCAACTACGTCAACGAGTCGGCATCGATTCGAAGGCCCTCCACTCCAACCACGACAACCACGTTGCTTGTCTTTCTGTTAATTTACAATTTGCGGTTTTTTTCCCAGAAAAATTGAGATTGGAAGTGATGGATTGTGCTCTGCTTCATATGGTAATTCTGGTTCTGTTGATTTCTTTGTTTCTGTTTTTGGGCCGTGGGTTAATTTGCAGGTCCTTTTATTTTTGCAAATAGGAATAGATGATGATGGGAGAGAGAGGGGGAGACAAGAAGAAGAAGAAGAATCCATAGGGAGAGAGAGAAAAAGCATCGTGATAATTAAGCTCCATCAAATCTGTTTTTACTATAATTAAAAATAATTAATTGGTGCTCAATAATCGTATATTTGTAAATAAGTATGATAGTTTTAATTAATTTGTAAATAAATATATAATAAAAATGTTAATGTGTAGTGGAGGAGGTAAATTCCTCTTAATGAAATTATCTTGTTCTGTGCTAAACAAAATGGAGGCCCATTGGCCCAAAGACAATATTTCCTAATTATCAGAACATGGAAAAATTGGTGCACAATATTGACCATGTTTCAATATTATATATTATTTTATTATATCAACAAAATCATTGTAGTACCTTAACTGCAAAAAAATATTTATATAACAAAATACATTAATTATTTGTCTAAATAAAGACACATGATCACAATCTAAATATTCTTTACACATCTCCTTGACATACGGCTCATTCACTTGTAAGTTGTATCGCGCATCAATTGATTAGAGTTGTGATAACTCGCGTAGACAGTCATCGGTTAAACACGAGATTAGATTTGTGCTCGAACTCGAATGATTTTTGATATCTTATTGCTTAAGTCTTCTGAAAGATGAACACATGAGTTTTAAAGAAAGAAAAATACCAGAATTGCAGCTAAGGTCCTAAGGAATCACAAATTAACAAAACAAAACTAGTAGATAATAATAGTGCGATCCAGCTGGAGTGTCGCAGCGTGAGGCTCGTGCGACGAGATGCTCCTACTGCTGCGCGGCCTGCAGTTGTGGCACGATTAATTTGCGGCTGCGCAATGGGCAGATTTTGCGGCACGACTACCCGTCATCCTTGTGTGCTTGGGCCCGATTACCTTGTCTTATTAATACGACGACGAGCTCTATTATAAGTATTCTTGAGTATTTGACAATCTGCATCACTCACATAACCCCATGGTTAAGTCGATGCCACCCTCGCGGGTGGCACCCGTTTTTACTGTGGACCAATCACAGTAGGCCACGTGGCTTTTTTTTTATTTTCACAGATTTTGTTTTTTTCTCCTCCCTTAATCCGATAGATCTGCGTGCAATTGTAGATATCTTTTATTTTTTTTATTTTTTATTTACTAACCATGGTTACAACTTAAAGTAACAGATCTAAAATTCAAAATCCCGCTTTTTTTTTTTTTTTTCAGATCTAAAATTCTGAAGGCATTCATCACAGCTCGGGAAAAAAACACAGCTCGGGAAATTTCATCATCTTCAGCTCGGTTTCTCGCAGGCATTCATCACAGCTCGGGAAAAACAATTGAATTCATACGACTGAGTAAGAATCCGCTGGTCTGTGCTTATTTTCTTGGGAAAAAAGAGTAAATTATGTTTCATTGAAATTAATTCTTTGATTGCTTTCAATTCATACGATGCTCGCTAGATTTTTTAATTTAGAAAGGGATTGATTTTTTTTTCTTGGTTTGTGTAAGAAGTAGGCTATACGTGAGATTTTGCTGCAGAAGTCGGTGGAATTATGTCTAGTGAATCTCAGAATGTTGTGCTATGAGTACTGCCGATTTGATTTTCTTTGATTTATTTTCTCTCATTTTTTGTTTTGTTCTATTTGGGTAATAAAGGAACTCATGACCTGTATCTTCTTCAATAATGCATTTCTTTTTATTCTTTTTTTTTTTTATTTTCTCTCATTTTTTGTTTTGTTTTATTTTCTCTCATTTTTAGGATGAATATGCATTGTAGTTTGACCATCTCTATAATAATTCATTTCTTTTTATTCTTTTTTTATTCCATTTACGATTGAACCTGCATATCAGTTTTACCATCTGTAGGAAGATCATGTGGACAATAAGGAGCAAGCCTACTTACTTTGCATCAATTTCTTGGCTTCAAGTCTTTTTGTATAATTTCCTTTCTGGACATGTGGATTCTGACTAATGTATATATACTTGTGTAGTTCAGGTTTTTTGTCCAGTAGTTAGAGGCCTCAACAGCTGTAGTTCATTTAACTCGTTGACTCTCAAAAACTCTATATTTGATATGAATCATGAAACCTCAATGCATAAATCCATAATAACTTCCTTGTTGTCTTCTACCAGTGATCTTGGTAATTAAAGCATACATTTTGTCTTTCTACTGAAGGACCTGTTACTTGTTAACTGGCAGTCCTGTTATTTTACTGGAGTTATGACGACCCTTTCTCAATCTGAGTCGAGGCGCAAGTTTTATATTTTATTTGATTGTGCTGTTGTTTCTTCTTTCGTTCACTTATCTTATGTTCACTATATTAATCTTTGCCTTTGCTGATTAGTTCTTTGTTGTTGTAGGTAATATTGAATTAATAGATCATTATCGGCAATTTGAAGACTTGGAGGATAATGGTGAAGAGTTTCAAGAACAACTTACTGGGTTTTCTTCTCCTCCACCAGATTCCGAGGTTCAATCTTTTGCATCTGTAGTAGAACATTTAGAAAGTAGACTTGTAGTTGGCATGAAAATGAATAACCTTGAAGATGCATATTTGCTCTACTGTCAATATGCACATGCTAAAGGTTTTAGTGTTAGAAAAGGTGATCAAGGGTTTTTTTCGGGCAGTAAAGAAATACGAATGAAAGAATTTGAATGTTCTTGTGAAGGAGTTAAGGATGAAAGACGTTCTAGGAATAATATTCCTGAGTATCAAAAATTGATAACTAGAACAAAATGCAAAGCAAGAATTAGAATTACGAGAGAAAGAGAAGGGGATTGGAAATCTGAAATTGGTCAATTGCACGCAGATCTATCGGATTAAGGGAGGAGAAAGAAAGCAAAATCTGTGAAAATAAAAAAGCCACGTGGCTTACTGTGATTGGTCCACAGTAAAAACGGGTGCCACCCGCGAGGGTAGCATCGACCAAACCCCCATACAATGATACAACACAACCACCCAATAATTATATTTAAGTTGATTAATGCGCCGACATAATTAATTTGCTAGAGAATTCCATTTGTTAATTTAACTTTTGTTTTTTTTTTTTCTAGAATTTGGTTGCAACTTGGTTATTAAGTACGTGTTGCAAAACTTCAATTTTAGTCCGCTAACTTGTTCATTGTCCACTTTTGGTACATTATCTTTTCCCTCATAAAAATAGTCACTTTTCATCAGTTTTAGTACACTAATCCCGTGGCTCGGGATTACGAGATGCCAAATCAGGTTTTTATCCAACCACGTCAATATATTATTCCTCCACGTAGTTCCAATCCCGGTCCACGTAATCTTTTAATCCCGCCAACTGGAGTAACGTACTAAAACTGATGAAAAATATAACATAATAGACCATTTTTTATGAGGGGAAAGATATAGTGTACCAAAAGTGGACAATAAATAAATTAGCGGACTAAAATTGGATTTTTGCCTAAGTACGTGTTATATCATTTAATTAAGTCTGTTGGCTCATCGTCAAGCTTCATTAAATTGATATTTGTGTCCACTACAAGCAGCACCATTAGCCATTGTTAGTTCTTGTTTGTTATTCTTGATAGAATATGATAGTTTCTTAATCNTGGATCGATACATCATATATACATAAAACAAACTCATAAGTTTCCGAGACTCTCTAGCCACCTTATAGAAACTGCTCATAAACATTCAGCAGTCACAAATCAAAGTACTTTTATTAATACAATAACTCAAACCGTTTCACCAATATTCATTATATAGACAAATTTCATTCAAGCAAGATTGCAGCCACCTCCCAAACACTCCCTAACTTCACAAACACTCGTTATGCTCCGAGCACAACACGCGAAAGCGCGCCGTTTATTCGATAACAACAAATCAATCAAAGCCCGAGCCTATGCGGAAAGCCCGTCGCCGGCAGCCAGCTCCCGCCCCCGACAAACCTCCCGGCCGTGAACTGCTCTGCCTCCGAAGCACTCCTCAAAACCCTAAAACCCCTCCATGTCACCCTGTTCGCCGTCCCAGCCCCGGCCCCCGTGTTGGCATACTCCGCGTAGAACAGCGTGTTGAGCGCGAAATTCCCGCTCCACTCGAACCACCCGGCCGGATGGATCACGTTGCTGATCTCGCTCTGCATCACCACTGTCCTCGAGTACTCGCGCCACGGTCGGCCCAGGTAGGTCGGGAAGCTCGACTGGACTGGCCGGAGGTCTGAGGTGGCTCCGATCCGGCACCGCTGGATGACGATCCCGGTGTTCTGGTTGGGGTCGTCGCGGCCCTGGGCCGTGACCATGTTGCGCTGGCCGGAGTTTGGGCGGCGGGCATGGATGTCGCAGTCCTGGAGAACTGCGGCCGCGTTGCCGAAGATGAAGTCGACGGTGCCGGCGATGAGGCAGCTGGAGTAGAACTGGCGGAGGGAGTGGACGTACAACGTGTCCTGGTACGCGAGGATGTCGCAGCGGTAGAAGGCGGAGAGGTCCGCGTTCACGCGCAAGGCCACCGCCTGGTGGTTGGAGGCTCCAGCCGTGTTCTGGAACGCGATGTCGCGGGCCAGGAACCCTGTCCCGATCACGGCTACACACAACAACATAACACAAATAATGTATGGATATTTGTCCGTAAATTTTAGTGATGATAAATAAAAAAATTTGTTAATTAAATTTAAAAATATATATATGAAATAAGTTTGTCAATTATTTTATAATATTAATAGTTTTGATTAGACGTTGGAGTATCAATTGTGAGTTGTACCACATTGATTCCATAGGGAAATTAGGTCTAGATTATATACCTAGTGGACTACTGTTCACATCACTAATTGATTTGGGGATAGTATTTCACTATAATGCACCTAGGCTCACCCTCTTATGATGTACCTAGTGCACCGCACCCTCTTCCCCACCCTCTTCCCCCATTATATAAATCTAATATAAATAAAAGTCGAAATCTATATAAAATCGAATAGCTTCGAAATAATAATAATTGAGATGAATGATTGCGAATTTTACACATAGAATTACAAAATGGCAAATATCGCAAAAAAGTAATCTATAGTAGATGTTCATTAGTTCGTTTTTATTGGGGGTAATTTGGGTAAAGAGATGTGGTATAAATTTGTGATAGTTTGTTGGTAGGTCTATTCACCAAAGCTTAAATTGTGGGAGTGTGACTATACATAGAAAGTTTGACATCATGGAAACAATGACCGGATCATATGTATTGATGATGAAAGGCAATCGAGGACAAGAGTCATTTACCCAGCTATACTTGGTCGTGTAACAGCATATATATCTAGGTTGAACCAAGATCCTTCTATTTATTGATGACATGGACATGATTTCTTGTTTGAAATATGTGTTCGATGATGTCAACTATATAAAATATAAATTGAAACACAAAATTAGAACAAAAAATCTTTTCCCGAAGGCATGTAGCAAATTATATCTACATAATAT